AAAACTTGGTTAAATTATATTAAAACCTTATTAAAAAATCTGCGAAATTCAGAAAAAGATAAAACTATATCAAAGCTCATAAAAATGGCGAAACTATATCAAAAACTTAGTAAAAATTTAGTGAAACTAAAGGTTTTACCTTTTTGCCAAATCCAAAATGAGTTTAGACAAGCAACCTTATTTATTATAATAAAATTTATGATATTTTTTAAGTAAAATCAAAAAAAAAATACATTAATTAGTAACTTTTTGTATTAATTTAAGTTCAAAATTTTAAAAATATTTTAATAAAAGTATTTTCTTTATAAAAGCTAAAATCTTTAATTTTTATTTATTTTTATAATATTAAAAAAACTTTACAAAATATAGAAATTTATATTTAAAACATTTATTTATATATTTAAATATAAAAAAATCATAAATTTAAAATTGAAAATTTTGTATCTATTTAAATATTTTAATTATTAAAAATGAAATTTTATTTAAAAATAATAGATTTATAAAAAAAAATTGTAAGTTTTTATGTAGAGTTTTACATAATAATTGATTGAAAATTACGACTGAATTTGAATGAAAATTATTACCATTTAAGAGATACTATATTGCATATAAACTATAGGTACAATATAAAAAAAAATCAAATTTTTTCTTATAACTTTACTTTTTCTTAGTGACTCTTAGTGACATAGTAACAGATATAAAGGAAGATAATTAAGCATTTTCAAACTTTAAAAAAAGAATACAAGGATATTACTAAGAGTATCACTAAGAGCGTTACTAACAAATTTTATAGTAACACTCAAAAAATTAGTATACTCATTGCCTCAATCTAGTTTATATCATGATTGAACCTCAGAAATGCTTACAACATCTCGCAAATATACCTCTATACCTGTTCTAATTAAACCAACTACCTTAGTTCATAGTATGTGTAATTTACATATAGATAAGTATTATTCAAAAATATATTACCATAGGAAGAAGCTAAATATCTTAGAAAAATCTGCCTTATATGATCCAGATGATCTAATTAAATTTTGACCTTCAAAAGGAGAAGCAAAATAGCAAATTAACTTAATTAGATTACTAGAATAAATTCTTAAATAGTCTGTTTTAGGTGATTTAGCTGGCTTAAGAAATTTTGATTTCTTTACCTTTTTACTTTTTTTTTCTATAAGCATATTGATATATATTATACACATATCATATATAAGCATACATATAGCAAAAGATAGCATAGAAAAATTTTGAAATTTTTATAGAACTCTATTTTTACTAAAATACTTGAGACACTTAGAAAAGATAATACAAGAACAAGTTGAATCATAAAAAGAACACTTTCTTTTATAACAAATTTTGTCTTAGGAAGTGATCCAGTAAAATTTCTGCTCTAAGACATTCAAAAGATAGCATACACATTACCTCGATCTAGTTATAATCATGAACAGGTCTTGAAAGAGCTTATAACATCCCACAAATATACCTCTTCCAAACTTTTCAAAGCCATCTGATTGTATTTCAAGGATACAGTTTTCCTAATTTTTTCTAAATTTTCTGAAGCAATTTGATCATATTCCAAGAATACAATTTTTTCGATTTCTTCTGAATTTTTTGAAGTGACGCAATATTTTTTTTACATTATTTCAGCAATTTGTAAACTTAACACTCTCACTATAGAAGCTGATTCTAAAACTGATACAGTAAGTCAGCATTTTCGTTATAGAAGCCAAATTTCAAACTAATGTAATGAGTCAATATCACACTCATAGAAGTTAATTTTCAAGTAGACATAAAGAGCCGGTAATGCAAATTATAATAGAAACTATTTATTAACCTACAGCACGTAATAAAAATAGGTGCATTCTGATTATTTGGTCATAGTTATAATTAGGTTATTTAATCATATGATCACAAATAATAAATAGAAAAAGGTAAAAAAAAGCGATAAGAAATATAGTAAGAAAAATAAGAAGATATAAAAAATCGTTAAACTTAAGTTATTTCATTAGATTATTTACACATATTTAAATTATTAACTTTAGATTATTTAGTTATATTTAAATTATTTAGTTATATCTAGATTATTTTAACTAAATAACCTAATCTAAACCGATTATAATAATAATATAATTATATTATTTAATCATAATCAGCTGGAATGTATATTAAATTATCTTTTTTATACTATTATTAAAAGATTCAAAAAAAATTAGACAAAACCATTTGAACAAAAATTTTATTGTTTATTAAATTAAAAAGTCATTAGATTTAAATTAAAAGTAAATTAATGAATTTATTCTTTTTAATAATCTATATTAGTAAATTTTCATTTAAAAAATTATTTATTTGTATTTATTAAAATATTTTATTTAAAAAATCTATTTATTATATCTTTTTTTTTTATATAATTAAAATTTTAATTATAAATAAATCAAGACTATTGCTTTTTTTTTTAAAAGAATAAAATAATTATAATCAAAATAATATTAAAAGAAAATTTTATTATAATTTAATTTTATCTATTTTACTTAGATTAAATTTTATTTTAAAGTTAATAGTTTTTTTTATATCTTTAATATTAAAGATAGTACAGCAATTGATTTCAAATTTACAAAATGTTGCAACATAAGCTAAATTAGTTGCAACATATGTTGCAACATTATAAGTTGCAACATATATAGGTTAAAACTAATTGCAACGTAAGTTGCA